TTCAGTTTCAAATTTAATTTCATACATAAAGTCAGTGCAAAAAAAAGTTTGATATGAAAGGACAGAATCGAAAATATTATATATATTCATAATATTTTATTATACGGTGGTTTTCACATCATAAATTATATGAAATGGATAATCATTGATTAAGTTAACAGGTTGCTTTGCTTAAAGTGAATGCAAGTAGGTAATGAAATACTTAAATTTAGTACCTAATTCTTGCACTGAATTTTGAAACAAATAATTAAAACTAAATCAGTGAAAAAAAGAAACAAAATTACAAAATAATAAAGAATACTACTAATAATAATACGGTTGATTTGTTGAAATGTGACTGGGTTGAGATATATGTTGAAGTGAATAATTTCTTTCATAGCTTCATCGTAAATTTATATCATTTCAACAAATCAGCAAAATTTCCTTTCTATGTTTCAAGCATATATATATATGTGTGTGTCTGTGTGTGTGTGTGTGTGTGTGTGTGTGTGTGTGTGTGTATGTGTGTGTATGTGTGTGTATGTGCTTGTAGATTACATTAAACTGTATAAAAGAGTGAAGGAGAGAAAGGTAAAGAGAGAGGATGAGAGAGAAGAAGAGAAAGGAAGGAAAAGGAGAACGATGAAATAACAAAAAAATGGTTTGAATTTATTTTATGCACATTTTTTTTTTTTTTTTTAATATTAAATTCAAAATAACAGCAATTTAGAAAAATTATTATAATAATAGACTAATAATTAATTTTATGATGCATAACAAAAGAAAGGAAATAAAAACAAATTTTTTATTTATCTGAAAAGTGCTTTTCTTCTTTCTTTTATTCTTTTGAGTTTTTAAAAAAATAAATTAAATTAAAAGGAAATTATAATAACTTTATTTTTACCTCCTCTCTCTTTCACTTTTTTGTGCAACTCTCTCGTGCTGCTTTTAATTTAAAAATAAAATAAGCAAGTAGGATAATATATGGAGAGAGAGAGGGAGAGAGAGAGAGAGAGAGAGAGAAGGAATGAAATGAAATATTTGATATTCTTCCAAGTGAGAAATGAGAACGAATAAAATTTAAATATTTTTTTTCTTTTTTGTTATATTTGCAGAATAAAGAGTTTAATATTAACAAATTCTCATAAAGATTCAGTTGTTTTTTCACTTTTTTTTTTCATTTTTTTAAAGTATAAAGTTGTGATTGTATCAGAAATGCATAATGCATATTTTTGCATATTAATTATTATTTATCTAAACTGATAATGAATCATCCATTTTCTATCCTTTTTACTCTCTTATATATATATATATATATTTATACATCATAATTTCAACATATTATGCTTAATTAATGATGGAAAGCATTAATTTCAATCAAATATGAAATCAATTATTAGCCTTTTCTCGGTGTTTTTATTTAGACTGTAACATTTCTTTATAGATTCACGGCATATTTGTTACAATTGTAGCAAATATCTGAATTATCACTTTAAATTCACAAAATCAAATACAATTAAATTTGCAATCATTTTTGTGCAATTTTCTGCTATTCCTTTCTTGATATTTGGAATTATTAATTAGTCAATTTTTTTCTTCTTTTTTAATCGAAAAGTTGTATAAGTGATAATATTTTTATTTTTCTTTTTCATTTATATATTAAAAAATGAAATGATTAAAAATGATGAATGATATCAGATTATTCTACAATTTTATCTTATTCAAAAAGCAAAAAATGTGAATATTCTTTCTTTCTATTTCTTTTTTTCCTTTTTTTTTTTTTTTTTTTTGTTTTTTCAAAAAGTGCAACTGCTGTAATATTTTAATATATCACATTTGCTCCCATATAAATTATCAAATTTCTAATAATACCTGAAATAATGTGAACAATTTGAATAATTTATTGAAAAATTAGGTTAGATAATAAAGGAAGATTGGAATTTATTGGCAAAATTTATTAGAAAATTTGAATCATATATAAAGGCATCTCTTCCTGTACTTAATATTTTCTGTTCATTTCATTTTAATTTTAGCTATGAAATTTTCGCTTTCATTCATTCGTAAGTTTTTTCTTTTTCTAAAAAAATTGGAAAAATAGGTAAAATTGAATGCTACTAGTAGCTTATGTAATTAAATTTAAATCAATGATAGATATGGTTATCTAACTTTGGTATAAATATTAGTAAATGAATTACATTTTAAAATTTTAATTAGATTTTTACGATGCATTATGTTAGAGATATAACAATGCAAAATAGTGAAATTTTTTTAATTTACAAACTATCATTTTTGCTATATGTCAAATGTAATTACCATTTTATTATTCTGATGTTTTAGTTTTCTAAAATTTTAAGTTTTTTTCTTGATGATTACAACATCAGTGACATTACGTGGTGCGCTGTTTCGTTCACGTAAAGCTGCACTGGAAAGCATCATTCGAGCTAACACAGGCAGAGTGAGTTATTTTTAAATGAATTTGAAATTCATCTCTTACTTGAATTATAGACTGGTAAAAATTACAGATATAACAAGAAAGGTGATTAATTATTGGGCAAAAGCAATGCTCTTAATTACTAATGTGTTTAAATTTGGCTAAATTTGAATTGCTAAAATATATGGTAAAGACAGATTCGAACAGAAACTTTTTTGATTTTCTTGTAACTTTGATTTAATGGAATAAATTGAAATATTAATTGTTGTCAGTTTTCTCTTAATTCATTGCTTATTTTCCAAATTCTGGAATTAAATTAATTCTGATTGTTTGAATTTAAATACAATTAATAGCAAACAGCTATATATACATTTGTTTGTTGCATATTTCCTCGTTTATTTCTTTATTCAGTATTGTTATTATTTAACTGATAACATAGAATTTTCCACAAATATAAACAATTTATATTTTATTGGAGAAAAAAAATTTAAGCAAGATTTTCTACGATTCGGCAGAACTATAACAAAAATTTATTAACTAAATTAAAGATATAAAAAAAAGAAATCAATTTTCTCATATTCTGATTAATCAATTTATTATTTGTGTTTAGAAAAAAAATCACCTTTTTTTGAAATTTATTTTGAAAACAATATTATGTTATTTTTTTTTAAATTTATTATTCATTAACAATCATTTCTTCTTTCTCTCACTTTTTTAAGCAAGATTTTCTACGATTTGGCAGAACTAATGAAAAGTACAACGATCGACATCTGATAGCATCTGCAGTGCTTATTCCAGTCGACTTGAAATAATGTTAAAATTTTATTATTTTACTATTTTTTTTATTTTTTTTTTCATCAGTGTTATAAAACAATTATTTCTATGCTAATAGTTACTTATTTCACTAATAAATTATTATTATATTATCATGTACCGATCGTATTATAAAAAATTATTTAAACTTAATACTAATTAGTAGATTTTGTATTTCACTCTTAAAATATTTGTACTTTCTCTCTCTTTCACTTCTCATATTTATCGCTACGCACTTGTAAATAACTATTAACATTTTTTTCATTTAATTAATAAGTTATTCACTTGATACATATAGATTTTGTATTTGAAATTATAGCATTGTTTTGCACATGAAATTTGAGAATTTCAAAAATTTTCTTACGTAATTCTTATTTTCTTAATACAATCAATTTTTATTCAAACTGAATTCAACTAATAATTCAATCAATAATACTGTTAGTCATTACACTGCACAAAACAAAGAAAGAATTAATATGAAGGAATTGCACCACCTATACTACTGAATTTTTTGAAATTTAATATCCATTAAATTTAAAATATTATTTAGTAATTTTTTATTCTGTAACAGAAAAACAAATAAACTAAAAAAACAATGAAGATTTCTCGTCTTCTATTTGTTAAAAGTAAGCATTTGATGATATTTGCATAGACTGATACGTGGTTTCTGAATTTTAAAACTTTGACGGATGTATTAATTAAAATTATGTTAAATTAAATTATGAAAAATTAATTTAAATCTAATTTTCATACGAAAGAAAAAGTTAGAATAAATAATTTTAATTGAAAAAAATTATTCTTTATAACAATTTAGTTAATATTTCTGAATGAAATTTGAAAAGATTATGCTTTAATAATGTGATATGCATAGAGCCAATGAAAAATCGATGAATTATTTTCAAATTTATTTTTAAATCAAAATATTTCGATGAATTTTTTCATGAAATTTACCTTTTCAAATCAACGATCAATAATTCATGAAAAGCAAAGAGATATAATATTTGAAATATTGAGACTTATAATGATGAAAAATATTATCAATACTGATAATTTTCTATTAATGTATCTTGATTGTACATATTCAAAAAATGATAACATGAGTGTTAAATAAAGAACGAATATCTATTATCAGTAATGGCAAATATCACTGAATGATATATCACCGATAATTTATAATCAAGAAATAGTTATCAGTCTCAGTAACAATGATGCGATGGTCTATGAGAAAATAGAAAATACAACTAAATTACAAGAAATTATTTACAAAGCAAATACACAAACGAAAAGGAGCAAGGAAGTAATGCTATACTACTATAGTAATAAAAAATTTTTTAATTTTGCATTATAAATTTCGACTATAAAAAATTGCATAATTATCAGTTCTGTAACTTTTGTAATAAATCTAAAAATATACTTTGGAATTAAAATTTCATTTTCATTATAAAAATGCCAAAAATTATACGAAAAATAGGTTGCAGAAAAAAGTCAATGTTTGATTTAAACGATTTTCTTTTTTCCATAATACATTTCATCAAAGAATTCTTGATCAATTCAACAATAAATGAATAATTTTGAAGCAATTGTAAAAGAAAAATTTTTTAAAAAATTATGAAATATCACTGATGTTACTATGAACTGAGAGTACTCATTCAAAGAAAAGACGAATTATCAGCAAATGATAAGGTGCAATAGTAATAAATGAACGGGCAAATGATAAAAAAAGCAAAGGAAATTGTAAAATATATATTTTTTTCCTCTTTTATTATAATCATATCTATCATTCATAAGTTGGATTAGTTGATGGTAATTGATAAAGGTATTTCTTTGGTATGCTTTCATCATTGCTACGATTAAATTGTAAGCCACGTGCGCGTAAAATTTTTCCAACAAATAGTTCAATTTCAATTTGTTTCCTGAAATAAACAAATTGAATTAAAAATAGTAATGAAATAGCATGCACAATTTTTTTTTAATTTTTTTTGTCCTAATATACTATTATTAATGAATATGTATACGTATTATTTTTGTAAGTTTTGTTAGTGTAAAAAAAATTGTATGACAATGCAGTTAATTTGTTGTTAACTAAAATTTATAAATAAATATAAATATTGATAAATTCTTTAAATTACTTTAATTCATGACACTTAAAAGATGTTGTAAATATCTTTTTTATCATTTGATGAAATTAAAATAGATTTAAAAAAAGTGATATAAGTATTGTAATTTTGATATAAATATAATATGAAAATGATATAGGTCTATAAATATATAATATAAATTAAGTGAAAACTTACGCATTACGGAATTTATCATTGGGTAGAGCGCCTACACGTGGTAAAGCGTTGTTTTTGGCAGAAATTGTTAATGAATCACTGATTAGAGGAGAGGTAGAGGATGGCGATGAGAAGTTAAAATTATTTGGTAACTTTTGCAATGAATGTGGTGAATAATACTGTAATGAAACGATAAATGGTTTCTGTTCCAAAGGACAAGAATGATTGCAAATGCTAAATTTTGACCAATATACTTCACGTGGATCAACTATTGGTGGCATTAATATCGCATTGCTGTCAGGAATTGGTGGCAACTAAAGAAAAGAAAAAAGAATAAAACAAAATGATTTGTTTCAACAAATTATAAAAAAAAAGCTAAGAATTATATGGTGAATAAATTATAAAAACAAAAGATTCCTTCTTTTTAGTTTAAAAAAAAAAAAGTTTTTCATAGTTTTAATATTTCCTCCTTGTATAATTAAAGAATTCACTGAATGATTTTTCTTGAAATATTTCTGAAACCTTTTTAATTTTTAATTTAATTATTGATAAAAAATTCAATCATTTCAAAAATTTAAACTAACTGACAGAACAAATTGCTGATGTTAATGGTCCATGAAACATTGCTGGATGTAACCAATTTGGCCTTTTGTTAGCATTCAAAATTTCATCAACAGCAGTTGCCATACGTTGAAGTAACTGAGTTCGTTGATTTGTACGATTTAATGATGGTTGCCATGGATCAACCAATGAAAAATATCTTTAATACTTTTTATTTTTTTTGAGAAAATAAATGAAATTTAAAAATAATAAGAAAATCGAAAGATCTATCTTAATCTATTCTTTTTTCTTAAATTATTTTATTTAAAATTTGTGTATCTATTGATAATAACTGGAAAATTTTTGTATGTGATTTCGAACGAAGTTTAAAAGATTTGTTCATTTTTTATACACAAATTCGCAGGACGAATTCACTTGTGAGAAATAAAATTTCTTCTTAACAGAATAGAATTTAAATTTTGTTTTGAAAAAAAAGTTTCATTTTTTTTGCACGTTTCTTGGAAAATAATGAAAAATTTTAAAAAGAAGAAAAAAGAGACAAAAATTCAATGAATCATTTGATTTGATCAAACAATTGTCAAATGGTCTTTGGATGAATTCGAACATTCATTCATCGTGGGAATCACTAATCTTATCAAAAGCGAAACACTTCTGATAAGATTCAGAATCAGCTGACATTTTAGGAAAACTATTCTAAATTTAAAAGCAATTCAACAGAGATCAGAAATAAATAATGCGATCGAATAGTTTTAATGTCTAAACAATCGAACAAAAATTGAGATTAAAAAGAGAGAAAGGTACTAATTTTACTCAAACATTTCGTTTTTTTGCACAGAATATTTAGTAATATATAAAACTTACAAGAAAGAATTCCATCTATCAACAAAATTATAAAATTATAATTAAATATGTTTGAACAGTTGTTGAAATTAAGAAACTCTTTTTGCATGAAATATATATAACGTAATTATTAAAATCGTCAAAGATTCAAAGTAATTAGCTGATCCAATTATGACTAGCAAATTTAAACAACTTTTTAACTTTTCAATTACTATTAATTGCTAACACAAATTCAAATAATGAATTCAATTCAATTTCTTCAGCGATAAAATTAAGATAAAACAAAAAGTAATTTAGTTTTTAATTGTGAAACTTAAAGTAGCTTTAATGCAAAAAGATTAAAATCTTTTTTGAAATTCTTGAATTTCCTTGAAATTTTTGAAATTTTATTCGCAAAATTTTATTTTATTCTTTTTTACACAAATATTTGAATACTTGAAAACTGGAAATTTTTAACTGATAAAAGTTTGCAGTTACCGTACTTCATATACAATACATGAAGGTCATGGATAGCGTCATCCACTTTTCGTTCTTCTTTTCTTGCAACATTTCAATAAATAATAATAACCTAAGCAAATCAAAGGAAAAAAATTTATTTGTAAAGGAAAAATCTTTTGAAAATTCTGAAATTTAATCATTATTTAAAAATCTCATTAATTAATTTGACAACCAAGAATTTTTCAAATAAAAGTTATTTACAGGTTAGGCTAATAAATTCTAACTCAAGCAATTTAATTTAATCAGAAGTATTCCTAAAATTTAGTGACATAATTAAATTTTAATTTTATGAATTGTATTTCCGATAAGTAACAATTAAAAGGTGTAAATAATTAAGATCTAATATCAATCAATAAGAAAAATTATTGTTTAAGAAGGAATAAATCAGTATTATCTATCAAATTAAAAATAGTAAGAAAAGTTGGGTCAATAATAACCGGTAGAAAGAGCAGAGTTATTTCTTTTGCTTTTCATATTTTTGCACAACATATTGGCGCCATACTTATATTCGTTTTCATTTCATAACTTTTATTCCAATTATTTAATTTTATTAATGTAATTTTAGGAACTAATTGTATGGTAATTACCTGAAAATGTGAAAAATTAAGAAATACTTGAAATTCAATTAGCAAAGAGGAAAATATTTTAATCGAAAAGTATTAAATACTGTTTTAACTTTAGTTTTTTTATCTGTTAAATTTTAATTGATTATGTGGAATTATTTTCTCATAAATTGCCATTTTTATTCTGAACGCTTTCTTGTCATTATAAATGATTACAATGAAATTTTTATGATTTTTTCATATGATTGGAAATATCATTAAATATTTGCCAGTAAATGGCAAATATTGGGAATTTCATGAAGTGAAGCCTCTTTTTTCTTCCTTCAAAAATTCCGTTTTATTTTTTTGACAATTGCAAAGTTTAAAGAAATTTGTATTTAACACATTTACAGTTATATGATGAAGTCAAATGATCGTATCGTTCTGACAATTCATTATGCAAAATAATAAGGTCGATTAGGTCATTATTATTGTCTATTAATTACTGCTATTATCGTTATTATCAATGTTATTATTATTGCTACTATTATTATTTATTATTAATATCTATTATTATTATTATTAATCTTTTGTCTTCCCTTTTCCCGCCTTCTTTTCTTTTGTTTTCTGTTTTTTAAATTGCAAATTTTTGTTCATTTCATTTCGTTTTCTTTTTTCTATTTCCCATCTTCTTTTATTTGTTTATTTATTCTAAAATTCACATTTTAATTCATATTTATATAAATTAAAGAAAAAAAAATTTCTTTATTTTCATATCTTAAAACAAGAAGTTTTTTGAAAGTTGAGCAGTAAGAAATTTAGAATGTTGTGACGAGATAGTTATACAAAAAATACGATGATGATAAATACTAGATTGGATATATTTCAAAACATAAATAAAGCATTACTTAGTTTTATTAAAGTTATTATTTTAGTGGCAATATATAAATTAGAAATAAATAATGTGAATAAAATTGTAACGTATTCAGAATCATTCATTAAAAGCATTTTTCTATATAGTAGCAAATAATTAAGATAATAATTAACTAATTAACTGAAGCATTGCTAATGATTAATTTTTGATCGCAAATAGTTCATTACTGTGATAATGAAAAGAAAATGATTGCATATGCCTTTAGTCACTTATAATTATTTAAAATAATTCGCTTGATTTAATCATTAATTACTTGACATTTAAATCAGTGAAAATCGACAATTAACTCTTTTATTCACTTAATCCTTATCACTTTTCATCATTTACTATTCGATTAACTCCATGAAAACTGAATTAATTTACAAATCGAAGAAAAATATAAAGTATTTCCCTTGTTACTTGAAGACTCTGATCTATAATTTTTTGAAATACAACTTTCTGTTTCCCTGAAGAACCCCAAAAATTATTTTTTGATAAAAAGCTTCCAGAATTGTAAAAAAACTTGATCTATATAATAATAATAATTCATTTTTATTTCATTTTTTTTTTCGTGTAATATCTGGAGAACTCTTGTCACGTTGAAAAAAAAGTGAATTTGAATGAATTAAGTTTAATATCTCTTGAGATTTTATGAAGTTTTCATTTACTATTAACTTATACAGATAAATTTGATTTTGAAGAAATGATCATGAAATTCTTTTCATTCTAATTATACTAAGTAAAAAAAAAAATTATTTATTAGATAAAAAGTTAATAATCTCTGACTAATTATATTTCATCAATAACTCATTATGTATTTTCTATAAAGTTTAATAACTTATAGAGATTATAGTAGAGTAAATAGAATATTGAAATTTGCCATAATAATATTCCAAGAAAATAACTCTTAGATTATTAGTCAGCAAAAGAATGACTGATTAGACATATTTTCGAAATTTTTTGAAAATAAATTTCCGTTTTAGATGTGATTTTATATTGAGATGACACCGTGTCAGTTTACATTTCTATCTAATGCTTTTATCTTTTAATATTAGCATTTCTCATAGTGTGAAAACTATTTAAAGGATTGTTAATCTTATTTTAATTGATAATTTTTAAGTTGATATTATATTATGAGAGATTTTTATAGAAGAAGTACAAAATAGGTTAAAAACAGGAGGAGAAAGAGAGAGAGAGAGAGAGAAAAAAAATTATAAAAAATTTTTTCAATCTTTTTTGTTTTTGTCTTCATCAATGGAATCAATTCACTGATAACATCCTATTTTCTTTCCTACCGTACAAAAGCGATAATACACCATTAGATTGCTTTGAAATATTTCATATATCAGAGATCCTTTAAAGAATTATACTCACATCCGATTAGAGTCAAAAATTGCAATCGAAATTTGAAAAAAAAAAAAATAGAATAATTCGTGGGTTTTCTTGTTTCTGTTTAGTACGCTTACTTAAATAGATGAAAGTACAATTGTATTTTTCTTCCATCTCTGATATATTTACATTTCCTTCCTAAATATTATTACTTATTTTGATGTTATCATAACTTAAATTATCATAAAGCTGTGATAATGAAATGTTGATGTTTATTGCTGATTTCTATTTGTATTATTTTGTGATTTCAAAGAATTATCATATTTTTTAATTGCTATATTGTGATAATATTGTATAGTTCTACTGTTAAAACTCCTTAATACTTTATTAATAGACACGTCTCAAGATTACTTGTAGAAAATTTTCATATAATTATAAACTTACAATTCACTACTTTACTATGTCAATCATTTCATTACTTGTAATTATTTTCATAGCACAAACTTCAAATCAATATAATTTATATTATTATTTGATTGCACTTTAATAGTATCATCTAAAATCTCCTAAAAATTAAAACAAATTAAACTGAGGAGAATAGAGTGATAAAGAATTACTTTCTTTTATATTTGTTCAAATATTTCACATATATTCATGAGATCTTTTCTTATTTACTCAAATATTTCACATTTGAGTAAATCAATAAATCATTACCTTTCTATTTTCTCAATTTAAATTTTTCAATTGTTGGAACATCGGAATAAAATTTTCTAAATCTGCCTGATAAATTATACAATATTAAAGCTTTTATTCCACTGAAAACACCTTTGATGCTAAGTATTTAATTTAAATGATATTATTCATTTCTGATATCTGTTGAATTGCTTCTTAAACTTAGAATAGTTTTCCTAAAATGTCAGCTGATTCTGAATCTTATCAGAAGTGTTTCGCTTTTGATAAGATTAGTGATTCCCACGATGAATGAATGTTCGAATTCATCCAAATACCATTTGGCAATTGTTTGATCAAATCAAATGATTCATTGAATTTTTGTCTCTTTTTTCTTCTATTTAAAAATTTTTATCATTTTCCAAGAAACAAAAAATGTGCAAAATTTGGTGAATTGCTCAAAAAAAAAAAAATCAAAATTTTAGTTTCTTTTTGTTAAATTTCGAAAATTTTCAGTTCTCACAACTTTACGAGTGAGTTCGTCCTGTGAATTTGCATACAAACATTTTCTTCCTTTATAATTTTTTTTATTAATTCGAAATAAACAAAACTTTTAAACTTCGTTCAAAATCACATTCAAATTTTTCACACACTTATAATACAACAGATAAACAAATAAATATTAAATAACTTGAAAGAAAACAAAAAAATTAAACAAAAGGGATAACTTTAAATTAACCCGCAAAAGAATAAGTTTTGTTCCTTTTTTCTACTTTTTTTTTCCTTGAAGTTCGTTTCTTTCTAAAATAAAAAAAGGACAATCAATAATCAATAACACGAAAATAAAATAGTGAAAACTGTTGAAAAAGGAAAAATATCACATTTGATGAGATCTCATTTCTAAGACGATCGATAAATTTTTTACAACATCGAGGAAAAAAGAAGGATGTGAGGAATGTTATTGAGGTAACTTTGTCATTTGTTTTGTTTTAGTAACAATATTTTTGTAAACTATTGATAATATATCAGTAAGGCAATGTTACTGCTTAAGTTAAAGTAAAAAGTAGCATTATCATAAACTGTAAAGAAAACTAACTGATAATGATGATAAGTAGTTAGTGATCAATCTTGTTATTACAAAAGAGCTGATTAAATGATCACTAAAGTAATTGTTTTTGTTATTTTTGTGTTTTGACTACTTCTAAAAGAATAGTAAATTTATCGTCTTTCTGTTAATGAAATTTCACTGAAGAAGACAAATCAATGTAATTTTTTGATAATTTCATTATTGTAGTAATTAATTAAATATTTCTCATTTCTCGCAAAGGTTTTAATTATAACCATAATTTAACTAAAGTTCCCTCATTATCTAACTCTGTAAAAAATTAAAATTTCAAAGTTACCATTTCCAATAAAAGAAAGAAACAAAAAAGAAAGAAATGACATAAACAATATTTTTCATTTGTATCTCATTTGTCCATTAATTTTTCTATAATTCTCTTTTAAAGTTCCTTATTTCGAGTTAGTTATCAAATTTGTAATGATATTATTTATCATTTATGCAGGATCTATTATCATTTATTACAACCAAAAATTTTTTAAGTTTACAAAAAAATTTAATTTCATTTGGTTTGATTTTTAAAAGAAAGGATGGATTAAACAGAAAAAATCCAGAAAGTTCATTTTTTTGTAAATATGCTTTTAATTTGAAATAATTAAACCTTTCTTCAATCTTCAATACACAGTAATATAAGTATAAATAACTGAATAAATATATTAAGTAAGTAAGTAAGATTTGAATAATTGTTATCTTCCTATAAGTTATATTTTATTTATTATCAAAAAATAACAGTGATAATAATAATGATTAATAAATAAAATACATGATTGACTTATCATTTATTTTATCACTGTTTATTTGATTTTCAAAATAATTTCTGATTAATTTGGAAGCAAAATAAAAAAAAAGGAAAAAGGGTAAAGGATAAAATAATTATTTTTTACATTAATAAAATTTTAAATTAGCGGGAAAAATCAGTAAATAAAACATTGACTATTTTATTAAAAACCAATAAAACTGAAACTTCGTTGGTAGTAGAATATACCCTGAAATGATATTAACAAATAAATTAATTTATTTATTGTTTGTTTGTTTTTTTAACAACTTATGAATTATATTAAAAAGAATGGACGAGCTAAAAGATTTCCTATTATTGTTTATAAAAAAATCAGAAAAAAATTTGAAATTCAAGAGTAAAAAAAAATCTCTGTTTTCTTTTTTGCTTCTATTTTTTATCTAATAATAAAAACGTTTTCAACAATGAAATTAATTGAACTTAAAAACAAAAAAAAAAAAAGAAAAGTAAAACCCAAGCTAACTTTTAGAAAAATTAACTGACTATATTTTTATCTTAGTGCTAATCAATCAATTAGTAAATCAATCGATATAACTTTATTTCTATGGCATTAAACACTTAATCATATATTCGATTAGTAATTGATAACTTTTATATTAAAAAATTTATATAACAAAGTTACAAGTTACAAGCATTTTTCCTTACTTAAAAATAATAAGTAAGTCATAATAAGATAATATTATCAATACTTAAAATTGAAGTAGAACGAGTAGGAGAGGAAGAGTGAGACTGTAAACAAACAAATAATAATTAAGAAATTTAGAAATGTTAAATGTAAAAAGTATGATTAGCATAGGTATTACTAATTCATTAATACTACTGTATCGCTGCTGTAGATTAATTGAACCGGATATTTGTTCGGAATGAATAACGGAAGATTGTCGAATACATTGCTTCCATTTATAGCCAGCTTTTGAATCATACAAAGTTAAATTCTGCCTACCCGTAAAATAATGATGCATATAGGGTGAAAATAAATCGATGATATCATCTTGTGCATCAACAATTTGCGCAATAAACATTTCATCGCCACTAATTAGCTGGAAGTGGGTATATAAATGAAATACACGACAGTATTTCAGAAACCACATCAGTAAGTCCGATTTCTCAAGTCAATGCCGTCAATATTCCAGACTTAGATCACTTTGGAAACTAAATTAATGGGTATACAAGACAAAATAAACTCTGACAATGATGAAAAAGCATTGCAGCAATTTAAACAAACTATCACTAGGACAAGGGAAGATATCGTTTGTTGGCCTTGGAAAGATTCAAAGAACAAACTAAGCGATAATTTGACTTTGCCTTGGAAGATTAAAGTCGTTAATTAGGAGGCTTCAAATGAAACCTCAATTACTAAGTCGATACAATCAAACTATTGAAGAACAACTCAATTCCAATATAATTGAGAAAGTGTCATCGGAAATGAATGAAGTTGGTATTATTCATTATCTGCCTCATCACGAAGTAATAACACCAAATAAAACCACGACAAATCTGAGGATAGTTTATGATGCATCAGCTCATTGTAAAGGAATGAAAAGTTTAAATGATGTTTTATATCGGGGACCAATAACACTCCCTGATTTGGTTGGAGTTTTGCTACGTTTCCGTACAATGAAAAATGTAATAGCAGACGTAGAAAGGCGTTCTTGCAAATAGAATTGCATCCAACAGATAGAAACTGCACTCGATTTCTTTGGTTGAAAGACATTCGAAGTCCAGTTAACGAAGAAAACGTAAGTTGTTACCGTTTCCAACGAGTTCCATTTGGAATTGTATCATCTCCATTTTTATTGTCCGCTACACTCAATTATCATTTGGAAACTTGTAAAAGCAAATTCGAGTTAAGGAAAAATCTCTATGTCGATAACATTATAATACCAACCAAAGGAACCAACGAAGCTCTTTCCAATTATAAGGAAATTAAAATTATATTCAATGAAGCATCAATGAATGTACGGGAATTTCTCTCTAACGACCAAGAAGTCAATGAAAACTTCCGGTACAAGATCGAGCAGAGGTAAGTTCAATTAAAAATTCTAGGTCTCAATTGGTACCACAAACAAGATATCATTCAAGTAACGTTAAACCATGGTTTGGTAAGAAATTAACTAAAAGAATTGTATTGCAATTCGTAGCCTTACAATATGACCCACTAGGATTCATAGTTCCTATACTGATAAGATTCAAATTGTTTCTCCAAACTTTGTGGAAAAAGAACCTTTCATGGGATCAAACTATAAGTGAGGAAGATGAAACCACGTGGAAATTACTCACGAACGAATGGCCAAAGAAACTAAAGGATCTACCAAGATTCACAACAAATTGTTCCAAGCAAGTACAATTTCATGTTTTTACTGACGCATCAACTGCTGCATACTCAGCAGCTTTATACATTCGAACTCAAGAAAGAGAAGTATTCTTAGTGTTTGCAATCCCGAATTGCGCCAATTAAAGGAATGTCAATACCTCGATTAGAATTACTGGCAATACTCATCGGAGTGAGAATGGTACAATTGTATTAAAACAAAAAGAGCTTGAGGACGTGATAACAATTTTATGGTCCGATTCTCAATGTGCGCTTCATTGTTCACAATAGTTCCCGTTTACTACCAACGTTCATACAAAATAGGGTAGAAGAAATACGAAAGGCGAAAATCCATTTTAGATATATCCCAAGTGAACAAAACCCAGCTGATATAGCTACAAAAGGAATCTCTCCGAATAAACTAAAAGGATATGATCTTTGGTGGAAAGGACCAAAGTGGTTAACAGAAAACGAATCAAAATGGCCACAGTGGAAATACAATTACAATGAGGATTACCAGGATGAAGAAATTGTGGCCCACATCACAGAACCAATTATCATAAACAAACATTTCGGAATCTTAGATGCTAGTCGTTTCAAATGGTCAAGATTAATAAGAACAACTGGTTGGGTTCTGAAATTCATAAGATTAACAATGAAAAGGAAATTCCTTGGCTAAAGATGGCAACGAAAGAAAGAATATATTGACAACACAGGATTACGAGTTGTCAGAAATTGTGCTTATTCAAACAAGCACAGTCAGAAGGAGTTACCAAAGATGAAATAATCAAATGGAATTTGTTCTATGATAACGAACTATGGAGATACAAAAGCCGCGTAGTTAACTCTGAAATGAAAGAGAGTAACTTACACCCAATATATCTCCCGAGACACAACACCATAACTGAACTCTTTATTCAGCAACGACATGAACAACTGTATCATGCTGGAATTGCTCATACACTCTCAAATCTGAGATAATCCCAAAAGGTAGAACGGAAGTCAAACGAATCTTGAATAAGTGCATGAAGTGCAGACGCTGGACAACTAAACCATTCAAATACCAACTATGGCTGATCTTCCAGCATCTCGGACCACAAGATCAAGACCCTTGCGCGAGTAGGACTAGACTATTTAGGTCCTGTGAATATCAGGAGTGATAATGGGCTAACAAAGATGGGTAGCACTATTCACATGTTTCACAACAAGAGCTGTACATCTAGAAGTAGTAGAAACTCTTTCAGCCGAAAGCTTACATGTTTTCAGAAGATTTACAGCAAGACGAGGCTTTCCAGAATTAATCTTAAGCGACAACGCTGGTCAATTCCAGTTAATTTTTAAAATCATTGTGAAACAACAATTAAATGAATTCTAGCGGAAAGGAAAATGATCTGAAAATATAATACCAAAGGCGCCTTGAACGGAGGAGTATATGAGCGACTTATTGGAACAAAAGGGCAATGAAAAGAGCCATCGGCAGAAAGTTATTATGGGAACGGGAATTGATTACGCTAGTAGCGGAAGTGGAAAGTATTTTGAATACTCGACCACTAACTTACGTAAATTTTGATGATTGTATCATATTGCGTCCAATTGACTTTATACTACCGAATGCGCATCTAATCATGCCTGCTAAAAACAAGAATGAAATGGATGATTTTATCCCCTCATAAATTGATTCGAGAGAAAACTCATTCAATACTGGTCAAATACACTAAAGGCCCTCGATGCCTTCTGGGAAATATGGAAAGAGGAATATTTAAATACTCTTAAAGAAAGAGCACAAAGGGAACACTCTTCTCCGAGAGATGTAAGAAAGAACTCCCACGAGGGAGAGATTGTGTTACTAAATGAACCAGAAATTCCCCGTGGCATGTGGAAACTAGCCAGAATAAGAGAAATCAAAACAGGAAAGGATGGAGAAGTGAGAAGTGTCTCGATAGAATTACCGAAAGGAAAAATACTCAACAGACCGGTGAATATGTTATACCCACTGGAAGTCAAAGGTGAGGAAATTGACCCTCAACCAACAATGTTTAACAAATCAGTGCAAAATGTCAATGAACAAGAACCAATTGCTCTACGAACTAGAAGCGCTATAAGGCGAAGCAATCAACCAAAGCTGTCCAACGAACTAAAGCATTTAGCTCCTTCGGTCGGGAGTCGCGGATTTTAATATCGCGATCTAAAAATATGAGTTGCAAATTGTAGTAAAGATATCTACGTATTTCCGCAAATAATGCTTATACTTCGGACTCTTGTTTCCAAATTTATGCTTTACATATTGAAACATTTACATCGTTCTTTGTTAGCAATCCTTACAATCATGAGGATATCTACATTGTTCTTTGTTAGCTATCATAATCATGCGGTTATCTAATAAGCTCTCTATTAGCAACTGGTGCCCATGCAAGCACCTCCTCTCCTTTGTTTGGATCATTGTCTAACATCAATGTAGATTTATAACCATACTATTGTCAATTAGATCAGTTTTTAAAATCATCCAATCCTCCGAATCAGTTTATTCAATTGTTGCCCAAATATTTAGCTGGCATCCAACACATCTCCCTGACATCAAACTTCTCCCCCGAATAACAATTTAACCAAATCATAAAGGTTTGTTTCCAAAAACATTTTTTTGCTTCCACTACACCTTTGATGCTAAATATTTAATTTAAATGATATTATTCATTTCTGATATCTGTTGAATTGCTTCTTAAATTTAGAATAGTTTTCCTAAAATGTCAGCTGATTCTGAATCTTATCAGAAGTGTTTCGCTTTTGATAAGATTAGTGATTCCCACGGTGAATGAATGTTCGAATTCATCCAAATACCATTTGGCAATTGTTTGATCAAATCAAATGATTCATTGAATTTTTGTCTCTTTTTTCTTCTATTTAAAAATTTTTATCATTTTCCAAGAAACAAAAAATGTGCAAAATTTGGTGAATTGCTCAAAAAAAAAAAATCAAAATTTTAGTTTCTTTTTGTTAAATTTCGAAAATTTTCAGTTCTCACAACTTTACGAGTGAGTTCGTCCTGTGAATTTGCATACAAACATTTTCTTCCTTTATAATTTTTTTATTAATTCGAAATAAACAAAACTTTTAAACTTCGTTCAAAATCACATTCAAATTTTTCACACACTTATAATACAACAGATAAACAAATAAATATTAAATAACTTGAAAGAAAACAAAAAATTAAACAAAAGGGATAACTTTTAAATTAACCGCAAAAGAATAAGTTTTGTTCCTTTTTCTACTTTTTTTTTCCTTGAAGTTCGTTTCTTTCTAAAATAAAAAAGACAATCAATAATCAATAACACGAAAATAAAATAGTGAAAATTGTTGAAAAAGGAAAAATATCACATTTGATGAGATCTCATTTCTAAGACGATCGATAAATTTTTTACAACATCGAGGAAAAAAGAAGGATGTGAGGAATGTTATTGAGGTAACTTTGTCATTTGTTTTGTTTTAGTAACAATATTTTTGTAAACTATTGATAATATATCAGTAAGGCAATGTTACTGCTTAAGTTAAAGTAAAAAAGTAGCATTATCATAAACTGTAAAGAAAACTAACTGATAATGATGATAAGTAGTTAGTGATCAATCTTGTTATTACAAAAGAGCTGATTAAATGATCACTAAAGTAATTGTTTTTGTTATTTTTGTGTTTTGACTACTTCTAAAAGAATAGTAAATTTATCGTCTTTCTGTTAATGAAATTTCACTGAAGAAGACAAATCAATGTAATTTTTTGATAATTTCATTATTGTAGTAATTAATTAAATATTTCTCATTTCTCGCAAAGGTTTTAATTATAACCATAATTTAACTAAAGTTCCCTCATTATCTAACTCTGTAAAAAATTAAAATTTCAAAGTTACCATTTCCAATAAAAGAAAGAAACAAAAAAGAAAGAAATGACATAAACAATATTTTTCATTTGTATCTCATTTGTCCATTAATTTTTCTATAATTCTCTTTTAAAGTTCCTTATTTCGAGGTAGTTATCAAATTTGTAATGATATTATTTATCATTTATGCAGGATCTATCATTTATTACAACCAAAATTTTTCAAGTTTACAAAAAATTTAATTTCATTTGGTTTGATTTTTAAAAAAAGGATGGATTAAACAGAAAAAATCCAGAAAGTTCATTTTTTTGTAAATATGCTTTTAATTTGAAATAATTAAACCTTTCTTCAATCTTCAATACACAGTAATATAAGTATAAATAACTGAATAAATATATTAAGTAAGTAAGTAAGATTTGAATAATTGTTATCTTCCTATAAGTTATATTTTATTTATTATCAAAAAATAACAGTGATAATAATAATGATTAATAAATAAAATACATGATTGACTTATCATTTATTTTATCACTGTTTATTTGATTTTCAAAATAATTTCTGATTAATTTGGAAGCAAAATTAAAAAAAGGAAAAAGGGTAAAGGATAAAATAATTATTTTTTACATTAATAAAATTTTAAATTAGCGGAAAAATCAGTAAATAAAACATTGACTATTTTATTAAAAACCAATAAAACTGAAACTTCGTTGGTAGTAGAATATACCCTGAAATGATATTAACAAATAAATTAATTTATTTATTGTTTGTTTGTTTTTTTTAACAACTTATGAATTATATTAAAAAGAATGGACGAGCTAAAAGATTTCCTATTATTGTTTATAAAAAAAATCAGAAAAAAAATTTGAAATTCAAGAGTAAAAAAAAAAATCTCTGTTTTCTTTTTTGCTTCTACTTTTTATCTAATAATAAAAAAACGTTTTCAACAATGAAATCAATTGAACTTAAAAAACAAAAAAAAAAAAAGAAAAGTAAAACCCAAGCTAACTTTTAGAAAAATTAACTGACTATATTTTATCTTAGTGCTAATCAATCAATTAGTAAATCAATCGATATAACTTTATTTCTATGGCATTAAACACTTAATCATATATTCGATTAGTAATTGATAACTTTTATATTAAAAAAATTTATATAACAAAGTTACAAGTTACAAGCATTTTTTTCCTTACTTAAAAATAATAAGTAAGTCATAATAAGATAATATTATCAATACTTAAAATTGAAGTAGAACGAGTAGGAGAGGAAGAGTGAGACTGTAAACAAACAAATAATAATTAAGAAATTTAGAAAATGTTAAATGTAAAAAGTATGATTAGCATAGGTATTACTAATTCATTAATACTACTGTATCGCTGCTGTAGATTAATTGAACCGGATATTTGTTCGGAATGAATAACGGAAGATTGTCGAATACATTGTTTCCATTTATAGCCAGCTTTTGAATCATACAAAGTTAAATTCTGCCTACCCGTAAAATAATGATGCATATAGGGTGAAAATAAATCGATGATATCATCTTGTGCATCAATAATTTGCGCAATAAACATTTCATCGCCACTAATTAAAAAATCAAATACGCATGCATCAAAAAATGCATCTGTTACATTAGCATGTTTGCATCGTTCTGTAAATTAACTTTGTTTTTTTTTTTTTTTTTTAAATGAAATTTGTCAGTGAAAATTAAAAAATTTTGCAATAAATCATTTTAATTAATTTTTGTAAAGAAAAAATATTTTAAAAATTTAAAAGATATGCAACAATTAAAAGTATAAATTATCGATTAGTTTTTTTCCTTTTGTTTTGTTTGATTATTCTAATGTAAATTATTTAATTATTCCAATGTAAATCAATATAGTTTTTAAAAATGATGGTATGAATCATTAGATTTGAATGTTAAAAATTCAAATAATTTCATATTTAATTAGTTGGAAGTGTTAGAGTATCAGTTTTTGTTTAACCAATTGAGTTGAATTGTCACACTAGCGAAAATTTAATAAAAAAATTATTTTTTATTCGTTTATTTTTATAAAATCACAATTACTCACCAATTGCAATTTTTAGAGGTATTTTTATCCGAACTCCATGACATCTGGTAAATGAAATAGGATTTGCTAATGCTTCCCCATTTTTACCGTTTCACTACGACTACAACCTGATGTACAAATATCAAATTCATTATCGGTTTGTTCCTGAAATAAGTAGTTCCATCATTCAATTGTTTCAAAAAAAGAAAAACTTTTTATCTTTATGATTCTGAAAGATTTTTTAATATTTGGGATAAATAATGAATACGAATTTTCGAAGAATAAAGTGTTAAATTGATATAAAATTACATAAGTGGAATTATTGATTGCAAAAAGTTTCATAGTATAAAAAAGAGTGAAGAATGTTTATAATTAGTTGAGTAAAGCTACAGGAGGGAAAGTTAAAAATGATTGAAAATCGAATTTGTATAGCAAAAAAAAAAAAAAGCAAACAGCTATTTTATTAGAAATTAATAAATCTGAAATGTCTACGTATATTAATATTGTCGATATACTCGATTTATGTATATTTATAAATGGATTTGTTTATTTGCTGTTTGTTTCTCTTCAAAAAAGACGAAAATAATTTGTTTATTACTTCATGAAAAATAAAGATTTTTTAAAAAAATAAAGGAAAGTATTAGAATGATTTATTTTAGACGATTATAGGACGATAAATTGTGATTATTATGTAAAATGACTGATAGAAGAATTCAAAAATAAATAAGTAAGTATACATATATGACATTAAAACAAATCATTTTTCTTTTTTAAATTAAAAGTAAATACCTGCACTATTCGTTCTGGTATCCTTAAAGCAACCGATAAATATACGCCATGTCGTCGAATATAAATTATTGTTGCTAAATAACGTAATATAATTTCAACATGTGTTTGATTTGTGTTTGATTTAATTTCAACTGCTTTCCGTCCTGAATTACCAACAAATCTGCTACCATCCGTAAATGAATTAGGTAATTGCTCATCATCTGACCCTGCTTCATATTGTTTACGTGTTGTGCAACGGTTATTTTCTTTTATAATTACAGTAACCTGAAAAATGACTCTGAAATTTTGTCTCTTAATTGAATACTATTTTAACAAAAGTTTCACAAACATAATAACTTCAAAAAAAAAAGAACACTTTACTTTAATTATTTTAGTACCAATTTTAATTTCATATGTAACTATCTTTGTGTAAGCATTTCATATTTTGTAACATTTATTATATATATCGAAATATAACGATACGTTTAAGTAATGTATTTTTATGGCTATGCAACAGTACTAATTATTTAAGTAAGACAATACAATCACTATTTATACAATATTTATAATATTGAAGTGTAATTAAATTTTTTTCAGTGTGTTATTTTAAATAAAAATTCATCCATAATTTCTTTTCTTTAAGGAAAAATCTAACTTTCTATTGTTTATTTTAATTATTGAATGATTAAAATGTGATAATTTTTTTTAATTCGAATGAATTTTTTGAATTGTAAATTATATACCTTAGAAACAGCAGTGGTACCACTCGCGACAAACGAATGGGTAATTTGTATTAATAAATGTTTGTTATTTATTAATGGATAAGCACCATTACGAGCACATGTTTCAAAATGCCCATTTAGTGTGCGCAAATGTCGTGATCCAAAAAGCCCACAGTAACGTTGTATTACATGAGGAGCACTATCAGTCGGAAATGCACATCTTAAATCGTGAATATTTAAGTGATTTGTATGATTTTTGCAAAACATTCAACTGTAAAATGAAGCGCAAATGTTACAATCCAATGAATTCTGCTTATCTATTGCAGCATTTACTCATCTTTTAATTTAGTTTTTAGATAATAGTAGCATTCAAATCAATTAATTAATCATTAATGGAACCAAAGAAAATAATAATTAAATTTCAAAATATAAATTGAATAATTAAGTTGATTTAAATTAACATACGAAACCGTTTAACATGTTAAAATTATTCTAGATTTATTGATTTGTTCGTTTTGCTTTTTGTTTTAATTTAAAATTTATAATATTTTCATTTTTAAGAGTGCAGAAAAATGTTGGTCACCCGATAGGAACATAATTACTGGGTCTCATCGCTTCCGGGAATGAATTACAGGAAAATTCACGACGTTGTCGATGAAGCAAAGTTTGCAATGTGTGATATTTGAGATTGCCGCGACATGTGCGATTTGTTTCGCTCAAGCAGTAAATATAATCAGTTATTATCTATAATTAAATAAAAAATGAAAAAAAAGTAGTAGATAAATTAAAACAAATACATTTTTCTTTTTTAAATAAACCCTTCATCTTAGTATTTCTTTGAGTTTTTGTAAGCAATTAATTAATTAATCTTATGTTTGATGTTAGAATTTTTTGATTATTCTAATGGTAAGCTTACAGAATGTATTCCCACATGCTTATAAAATACAATAAACAATAACGAACAGAAAATAAAAAAGGGAGAGAAACAATGATATTATCTCTTATTTTCATAATATGATTTAAAAAAAAATTAAAATCAAGAATTTTTAATTTAAAAACTGAAATTTCTTTTTTATCTTTTCCTTAATTTATAAAGAAAAATTGTAGATAATAATTAATTATACTTACAACGTGAAATTTTTAAAGCATATAAAATTCAGTATCTAATATACCTAAAATGTGACAAAGCAACATTTACTAAATGAAACATTCAAAGCTAAAGGTTAGATATTATAAATGAACTGGAAGAAAAAAGGTTGAAAGAGGCGAAAGATTACACTAAAGTGAATAAAATTCAAAAAATTCATATATTATTTTCAAGTTTATTATTTTTCTCCTACTTGTTGAATCTTTAACTTCTAAAATTTTAAATTTTATTTTTTCCAAAAACTGTCATTTGGTGACTAAGTAAATTAATTTTATCAAATTTTATCATCAATGAATAGATTTGATTAATTTGAACTTGTTATCTTAGTCTGAAATATTATGAGGACAGTGTTATATTTCTTTAATTTCGTTTGATAATCAATAAAATATTCTCAACAAATAATCAAAAATGGAAAATAGCATCTGAAAAAATTTTTTTAATTATATTACCTGACAATAAGGCGCATTCATACCAATAAGAATGCCACCTTCATCTAATCGTTCTGAATAGATATCAGCGCAATAATCAACCATACAACTGTTTCCTAAAATTTATTGAATTAATTAATTTGGAAATTAACAATTAATTGACTAATTAATTAGACAGTTCCATTGACTAGAAGTATTTTATCAGCCAATTTCGAAAACAAAAATTTTTCATCATTCATCTCTGATAATATTGCAAATTTTCATTAAAATCATTTCGGTATTGCTCATATCTGATAAGTTTTCATAACTACAAGAAAATGATAACAAATTAGAAAATGTAAATATCAGTCATAACTTTTTCATTATTCATTATACAATTTTATGAGAAAATTGTACTTGGATTGGATTTTCATAGCACATAGAATTATTATCATATATTTTCAATTTTAAATTTTGAAAACGAAAATAAAAGTTTAAAAAAAAAAAAGATACCGTAACGAAATATAGCAGTTTGTAGTATAGCTATTATAAATGATAATAATTTATGGAAGTCAGTGTTCATGTCACATCATTGCAGCAAATTTGTTTACACTCCACCGAAACATAAAGCCAAGCAAATAATAATAATAATAGTTGGAATGAAAATTAAATTTCCAATTCGCTTATATTTTTTAATTCGAAAATTCTTTCAAATTGATAGAAAATTCCCATATGAAATGGTCACTTTGCTTGTTTCTTCAAAAATCGTATTTAAATTATATTCAATTATATGCCTTTATGCAAGCAATCTGAAATATTCTATTTAGTTTAAGGAATCAAAAATATACATATGCATATGTGGATAGTATTAATCATTAAATGGACGTTATTTCGGAGCAAAAAAATTGTTTTCAAAAATTTCGAAAATTTTATAAAAACATTTGATGAATAAGAGATAATACATATAAGAAAATGGATGAGCAAATAAATGAACAAATTAATTAATTGAATGATTAAATTTTTTAATTAATATATTTGAATATTTTCAATGCGTAAAAATTGCAGAGAATTTGAATTACTCCAAAAAAAATATAAATTTAATTTTAAAAGAAGAAAATAATTTTAAATTTTCATTAAAAAAGTTTGTCAGAACTTATGGAAAGTAAATATGAAAGTTTTGCATTCTTTTATAGGAATTAAATGGATTAATGAGATATTTTTATTTTCTGATGAAAAATAAAAGAAAAGAAAAGATAGATAAAAATAATCGTAATTATATTTTGAAATTACGGGTTTAGTGGATTGGTAGCTTTTCTATGAATTTTCATCAGTTATTCAATAAATAAAAATTACATCTCATTAATTTACTATTTAAATTAAGCTATTACTTGAATTCAGAATCATTAAAGTAGGAAAGAGCAGAAGAAAAAAAGTAAATGTACAAAATATAATTTCGATTTTGTCCACATACCTTCCTTCTTTTGCTAATATTAGCAGTTGCTGCGAAATTTTAACAGAAGAAAAAACATTATAGCTGCTGATAATACTACAACAGTAATAAAGGTGGATCATATTTTGAAGAAAACACTACTGATATCTAAAATGTCTTCAATTTTAATGTGATATAATATTAATTCAGTTTTAATGTAATATCGATTTCATATATTAATGTAATTTCATATATCCATTAAAATAAAGTCTAATGATTTTCTTATGTGAAAAGCTAAACAAACTTTAGATATGACATAATGTTTACAAAGTCTTTTATTTTATTCAAAAAATTTTTGCCATTTGCCATGCAAAAAGTAAAATTGAAAAAAAAAAAACAAAATGGAAAAGGAAATGAAAGAACAAAAAAGAAAAGAAAAAAACTTTTACATTTCTATGCATTAATGCTAATATACTAAGAATATTTATTATTTTAATTATAAGAAACAATATTATATTATTATTTGGAATAGATAAAAATGATTGCAATACAATCACAGTTTTCTGAATGGAATGACAAAATTGACATTTAAATATTTACTAAAATATAAATGAATGCATTATTGATTGCAATTATTATCAGCTAGTAAATTTTTGCCTTTTGTTTATTTCTCGAGAAATAATAAAAATAGTAGTAATAATTAACAATAATAATAACAAATCGTAATTGATAATAATAGTAATAATAATAATAATAATATAGTGAGAATAATCATAAAAGAATCCAAGCTTTAGAATTATTCGGAAATTTATGTTCCATCAGAAAAGATAAAAAATGGTTACAATCGATTGCAAAAAAAGGAAGCAAACATTCATTCCATTTCACCAAACTGGCACTAAATCTCAGTTTAATTAATTAATTAATTAATCGACTAGTAATTTCTTACAGTTCGGCACGAAAAAGAGATCCATATATAGTTTTACTCATAGTATATATATATATATATATAACCGTTATTAAAATTTATATCCAACTTTATGTTTAATTAATTATTGTATTAAACTTTTGCGATAAGTTTGAATGTTAAATTTATGTCATTTCTCAAAAAATGTAAAAGAATATGAATGCAACCTTTATGAAAATTAAAAAAAAAGAAACCTTTTTTCTTTTCTTTTTCTCATTTGTTAAGAAGAAAAAGACGGCGACATGAATGATAAAAGGGTTGATAATGAAATGAAGATGTAGAAATTATCATCAATTACGCTATGCAGTTTTATTGATCTGAGTGACAGTCGTCAAATAACAAAAAGACAAAGAAAATTAGGCCATAGTCGTTATCATTATTATCAGTAGCAATAGTGATGATAGTGGGAATATAAATAATACTGAAAGTACCAGAGTTAAAATTGAAAAATGAATTAGAAGGTAGGAAATTGTTGAATTTAATGATAAATGATAAATCATTGCCTTCTTTTGTGAGCTATTAGTGATATAAGAGAAAAAGAAGAATGAAGTAAAATAATGAAGAAAGAAGAAGTCATCTTTGTTTCAAATATTTGTCTTTCCTCTTTTCCTCTACAATAAAAATTCTTTCCTTTTCAGAAAATTTTTATGAACGAATAAAATATTTTTTGTTTTTTGTAAACTTTTAAGCAAAAAAAAAAAAAATTTGCGCCATAAAATATCAAAAGAAAAAGAAAAAAAATGATAAATACCAACGAGAAAAAAGCAAACTAAAAATGGACTGTGAAAAAAAATTTTTTTTTGCTACATTACATTTATATTACACTGCTAAACTGATAATTACTGGTAATAAAAAAGAATTAACACTAATTAATTACATCGATAATTCTATTCTTATTAACATACTGCAATTTCATGTTTTTTAAGTAATTTTAAGTATATATATTATCTGTCTGTATAAATCAAACTTTTTTAACGAATCAATTAAATTAAATACCTATAATAAATGAAACAAATTACATTCACTTAAAACATTTAATTTGATGATATTACCAATCACTAAAGAAAATTAATAATTTTCGCTTTTTCTTTTGCTTTTGTTTATTAGCTTATTGTCACCCAAGAAAATAAGAAAAAGTAAAGAGAAAGAAAACAACAACAAAAAAAAAAAAAGAAAATATTTTTTAAAATTTGTGTTCAGAAGAAATTTTAGGAAAGAGAATGAAAAATTAATTTTTATTAAGCATCGAGCTAATTTCAAAAAATGATCACTCCGGAATAGTTGAGGTAGTGAGAATTTCTGAACTAAAAAGACTAAAATAGCGAAATTAATTTCTCTCCCAGTGATATATAAATGTTAGTTAGATGCCATGGCATTAGTGCAGCACCGATGTAAACATGAACTTATCAATCACTGCTATCAAGTCAATAATATCAATTGATTAATTTAAGAAGGACAAGCATTCCGATGCATTAGTAGTAATTAATTACAATACTAATTTTCTCTTCCTATCAAATTAATTCGTAAGCAAGAAATTTGAAGTTGTTTGCATTTCAAAACTATCAATTTGAACTGTTTTCAAAATTAAGAAGCTTTTTTTTGTCCTTTTTTCTGGATGAAAAAGTTAAATTGATTCTATCGTCCTGTCTACAGATAATATTCCATATGTTTCATACCTTTTGCCTAATCTTCAACATTTGATGACTTTACTTGGCTGAAACATTTCAACTGTCAACAAATTTTTTTCTTTAAAAGAAGAACATTCATATTTTAAAAAATTATTTAACAAAATGTTAGGTTTATCTTATAAAATTAAGTAGAATAGTTAAGGCTCATATTTTTCTCGCACTGTGAACTATATTTTATTAATTTGTCAGATGGCGAATCACTTAAACTTATAATGTTAACAAGTTTGAATGCAATCGAGTGAAGTGAAAATTATTTTTCATTCCTTTAATAATTATTTTTTAGCCTTTTGATTAAATTTGGTAACGGAATCAAAAGATAAAAAATCACGAAAAGTGGAAACTTTTACCTTGAAATGTATGACATTAATAAATACTGAAATAGAAAATGAATAAATAACAATTTTCTTTGTAGAAAAGAATTTAATTTATTAAATATTTTCAATTAAATTTTCTTTTTTATTTTCCTTCTTACAACTGAATGCATTTGATTTAACTTTTTTTTTCTCATTCTTCCAATATTTACTGTTTTTTTTTTTTAAATTAGGAAGTAAATGCTGACAATTTAAATTTTGATAACATATTTTGAAGGTAAATATAATACTAAAAGAAAAAATGCAAAATTCATACAATGATGCTTGAATAAATAACATTTTATCTTTTTACATTTTAACTTTTTTATCCTTTATCTTCCAACATCTTAATCCTTACATCTTTAATTTTACATTTCACATTAAATTTTAACTTAATAATCATCAAATAGTTTAATGTATGTTAAAGTTAGTTTGTTTATGAGCATTTTTAATTAATTTTCTTTCTTATCCCTGTTTATTTCATTTCAGAAAAGAGAAGAAAAAATGAAATTTTTGAAAAAACTCTTATTGACTGCTTTTTTCCTCATTTAATATCAGGAAAGAAACAAAAATAACTTCAAAATCTCTCATCAGCTATTAGAATAGGACAAAAGAGGAAAAAACAAAAATTAATATTCTAAAAATTAATATTTAAAAAACAATATACAAAAATTAACATTATCAAAAATTGATATTTTAAATTATTACATTAGTTCCTTCACGGATAAAATACTAATTCGATAGAGTGAAAAAAATATGAAAAATTCCTTTTGAAATTTCCGCAAATATTAAAATTAAAAAAATAGTAAAATTCATTGCTTCATTTTAAATATTTGAAATTATTTAATTATTTGCTTATTTTAAAAATTATTGTTTTATTACTTTAAATTATTTACTAAAATGATTTCAAATTCCATCATATAAGACCTTTAAACGTATATTTTTAGAATATTAAAGCTTGCATTTAAATTACAATATTTGTGATTTTGGATAAAGTATAATTAAGAAAAATTAAATAAAATATTTTATATATGAAATATAAATTGTATTATTAGTTAGAAAGAAAAATTCTTAAGGAAACAACGTAGCATATAGTACCACTAAATTGCTTAATTAAATTATGCCTAATGCATTCAATTATAATTGCTTTTA